CCAGTGATCGCATCTTTTTCTTCTGAACTGCTTCCTGGAACTCGCATATTCTCCACTATTGAATTACATAATCATCGACCGAAACTCAAAGTCACCATGCCACCTATTTTAACGAGGAACGATCTGTTTGTTTCGAGCGGTCGCTACAAATATCTTCCTATCGGCCGCACTAATTAGTGATAGGTTTAACGATATAACCAATGAGTATTACAGAAGTGTAGACGTAATTGGGCGATAGCCAATAAGATTAAGGGTTAGAGGTCACAATATTGCGTATATCAGCCAATAGGAACGTCGATCAGTTATGATGCATGTGGACTACGGACAAATCTGAGAAGCGTTGGACTAACTTTTGCATTTTACTTAGAAATGATGGCGGAGAAGGACGCTCTGCTCGCCGAGGGTAATAGCAACTATGGAAGCACAAGTCCCTTTTCAAATGACAATCAGTTAGAAACCAATTGTGCAAACGCTTTGCAATATGATGTTTCTACTGAACCTATACTCGAACCAGAGGATTTGTACAAGCTGAGACAAAAGACAAGGTTTACCCTTTTAATGTCTTCCTAGCTGAATAATAGTTCTGTATCAGCGCTGATGAACTTTATAAACAGTAACATAGGAACAGGAATTCTGGCTCTTCCTGTAGCTTTTAAGTATTCCGGCTTGTGGATGGGTCTATTTTTGCTAACTTTCTACGGTTGTTTGTCATGTTACCAGATGCATGTACTTTTAAGGACCGCCGAGTCCCTCATAGTGCGGTAAGCTTTTAATATTCTAGATATTTTTTTTTCAGTCATGAACTCGATCGTTCAACGATGGACTATACGGAAACCGTATTTACAGTATTCAAATATGGTCCAGTTAGCTTAAGGAAATACAAAGAAAAGTACAAGTGAGTCCTTAGTATTCTGTTTTAACCAAGACTTCAGACATTTAGTCAATGTGTTTCTGTTGATTACGCAGGTTGGATTTTGCTGCGTATACATCCTATTTATATCGGAAAATATTAAATACGTAAGTATTTTATCAATCGGAATTTTCCTTGTCTCAGTTTGCGTTATTTAATCTTCTCTGTAATTTTAGCTGCAGCTGCTCATGAGCCTCTCAAACTCATGGTACCTGCGTATGATGCGCGTGCACCTGCCTCTATCTAGCCCTGCACCAGCAGCTCAGGTTTCAAGCTTCATATAAAACAGGTGATCTGTTTGAATGAATGTGTAGTGTCTGCGCCACGGGACTGCTGGGCAGACTGTGCCTCCACAAATATAGGAGGGTTCAGCTGTTACTGAAGCGGTCCAGTTTTTTTAAATTGACAGTCTGCACTTCACACAGGAGAGCAACGTATGAGAGCTTAAAGACCAGCGTATGTGAAAGCACCCATAAATATATCAATTGTACTTCTTAAAATTTATTATTCAACGAATAGCTAAATTTGCGTTCAGTCAGATAAAGAGCAAACCTTTCTAGCCCTCTTTATTTGGAGCATGCCTTGGGCATATCAGCTGTGTGTTTTCAGTTGTATATTCCGTTTGTTTCAGCTGTTTTTAACGGAAGTACATAACCAACCAATTCACTAGTAAAAACGACCTGCATATTTGGAAGGTTTGATCTAGTTAAATTTGGCGTCTAAAAAATAATCTCCCAGCTCCTTGAGGAAAGGGAGAAAATCGTAGCCCTAACGTTTACTCGTACCGTGACGCCTTATTGGCAACAAAAATGACGCTGGAATGGCAATTTATGTCTCGTTTTGATTATTGGTTAGCCGTATTCCAACTCCAGGCTGCAAGTTATCGAATTGCACCCTCACCCCAAAAATTATGGATCAATCCATATCGACTAATGGGGTCAATGTTCAACGTCATATGGAATTGGCATGACCCGAGCTATCCTGATAAACCTTTGTATTTTAAGATGCACAGTTCCTTCGGGCAATTATATGATTATTAACAACAAATAATTAGTTGAGTTTGCCCTCCTAAATTAAGTGCCATCCTGTACTTCCCTGTTCCAGCAAGGCCTAGCATTGGTTTCGAGATTCCTGTTTTTATTTACGCTTCGCATGCAGGGCTGAAGTTTGCGGAGT